GTATCCCTTTATTGCCTCCAGGTGGGTATAGTAACATATATGACCACCCTTGCACGCAACCAAAAAACGTCTCCTGTATGACCAATGGTGACCCCCTATTTTGATTTTGTATTTTGTTCACAGTACGACTGTCCGTTTTCCCCTAAGCACCAACTACGACGGGCGACGAGAGCGAGCAAACATTTACTCCTCCTTGGCACCACCGCGGCCGGCACGCTCGGCAGTCTCGATGGCTTTCTTGTCGCTGGCAGCGGGGCCGCTCTGGAGACCCTGCATGAAGCCGGCGGGCGCCTTGAAGGGGCGCTTGAGGTCGCCAGCGGCGGGCTGGCCAAAGACGTGGATCTTGACGAGGTTGCTCTCGAGGGCGCTCTTGAGGGGGATGATGGACTGGATCAGGAGAGGGTTGGTGTACTTCATGTAGATGTGCATGAAGGCCATCATGGCGATACCCATGGCCTGGGAGCGGAAGGCCTGCCGAAGCTGGGTGGTGTCGTAGGCGTGGATGGTGGTGGTGACGAGCTTGCCCTCCTCGGCGGATCCCATCGCTGGGGGCTCGACGTACTTGAGCGTGGTAAGGTCTACTGTCTGTCAGCAACTGCTTCGATAACCCTGTACGATTGCACGAAGTGAACGCACCCTTCTTCTTGTTAATTTGAGCTTGGACGTAGAGGTAGATGATGGCGATGATGATGTTGCTGGCAATGTAGCCGGCGCGGCACATGTTCAGGACGTTGGGGTCTTCGAAGGGGACCTTGCGGGAGACCTGCACCATGCCGAGCATGATGATCAGGTTGGTGCTGCGGCATTGTCAGTAAAGGTATTCGACGTCGTTGCTGTAGGCGCGCAAGGAAACATTGAAATCAGAGATTTGCAATGCGATTCGGTGCGATGGATGGAAACGGAGAGGGGGCAACGTACATCTGAGGGCTGACCATTTTGGCGGTTTGCGACAGAACTAATGGGGGTTTGATTGGGAATAATTGGAAAGAAGGACGAGGACAGCGAAGAACCTCGAGGTCGCAAGAGAGAGAGAGAGAGAGAGAGAGAGCTGGTTGGTTTAAGGTATTAATAGGAGAGCAGAGGAGGAGGCTGGCAGGATGCAGAGGCGAAGACGGCGCGGCGTGGAGTTGGCGAGTTTTTGTACGGTTTAGCGCGTGAGGGCGAGGGCGTCTTTGGGGGCGATGGGGAAGACACTCGGAGAGGGTGAGGTGGTCGAAACGGCGCCCGTCCAGTGGGTTGGTTGTGTGTGTGTGTGTGTGTGCGGCCTGGCTGGGGGGTGGAGTTGGAGGAGGTGGAGGTACCCTTGGATGAGGGAGGTACCTTTTTAGTGTGCAGCACTGCAATTTAGATGGTGGTTTCCTGGGTAGGTACCTCATGGCCTACCATAAAGGCGTGCTAAGTTCGGGGTCCAGCGGGCTGCGGGATGGCGAATTGCAAAATAGCACAATTTTTAGTCCAAAGCTCTGTCAGTTTCTGTAGCATTCCGCTGCACTCTCTTTGGTCCTTTTTGGGGTCATGCAAGGGTGTCTGCGCATGCGCGTGTTGCCTGTATCTGTACCTGGCGAGCCTCACCTCTATGATTTATCACATTGTTCATGGTCTCTCTCTTCCTCTGGCAATACTGTATTAAACAAAATAGTCTGCCTGTTTGTGTGCCCCTCTATCGTCTCTCTGCAGCACATATGCAAGACGGCACATTGCAACTGTTGAGTTGCCTGAAGCTAAGGAAGGGTGCTAAGACTAAGACAAAAACTACCCAAGGCAACATGCCACGCATTCAGTGGCTGGGAACTTGGAGAAAACGCCACCGGGCCTTGAATTCTGACAAGTCCGATTCCCCGCGTTTGCACTTGGGACTTTCAGATGCGTGAGGTTCTTGTGAGATGCAGGCTCTTCTGACTTGTGGGATCATATAGGCAGGCGACTCTTGTTGGAGGCTCGGACTACGAGATCAGCGATGCCAATTCCAACAAAATAAGGTGAGAGGACACGTTCGTAAATTGCAACGTGGGGAATCCTGTCAGGTATATCCACCACCTGCCTGATTGAGACAGCTCACTTTTTGCCTCATCTTACAGCTGAGATTTCGTCATGCATCGCTGATAATCAACCAACACTAGCATCAGCTATCATTCACCTATCGCTTTGTGACTGACAACTACCCAATTCGTGATTGCCTCAACTACCAGCTGTTCTTGTCGTAAAAGTCAGTCACGAATCCACAACTACACCTGTATCACCACAAGTGCAACAGCAAATACGAATGAAACTGGGCTTTTCATATTCCAGATATGTACACCAGGGGCCAGGATACCCACGATCAATATCTATATTGAGAATTTCATCAGACTTCAGCAACCATGTCCACGGACAGGTAACTGCGTCTTCCGGCAACAACGCCGCCGTCAAAATCACGTGGCGCCGGCCGCATGCTCCACTTCCGTCGATATGCACCCCGTAAAAGGTACGTATCCACCTCGATGTCCGGAATAGCCTCAAATGAAGCTCTTGAGAATCGGGAGGTAAGTTCCGTATGCCTTTCCAGTCGTGGGCTCCATGGAGTACATGTAGTCCGCCCACCAAGGTCCAGCAGCCCACCAGAGCACCTGCATTACCGATTGTTAGCGGCTATCAGCATAAGAGAACCGTTTGAGAACATAAACCACTTACACCTCTCCACTGCTCAGAGTTGTCCGCGAGGTGCTGGAGGGCACCCTTGACGGCAGTCTCGCACTGGGTGTTGACACCAGCGCCAATCTCGCCGAGAACACCCTGCTTGTTGTTGTCCTTGAGCCACTTGGTGGCGACGGCGAGGCGCTCGGCGCCAATGGTACTGCTGACACAGGCCTCGTTGGTGCCGGAACCGTCCGTGTCGAGGTACTGGTGCATCTCGTAAAAGAGAAGTTTGCCGGTCGAGTCGGACGGGTCCGTGAGGTTCTTGAGGGCGTCGCCGGAGCCGCTCTCGATCCAGTGCCACGCGCCAGAATACGAGTTGCCCTCGATGAAGATGTTCTGCTTCGTGGCGCCCGCCGCGCGGATGTTGGTGATGGCGGCCTGGTTTAGGTCGTGGACGAGCGTGTTGTCCATGTCGTGGTACTCGTTGTTGGTGTCAAAGATGACCTTGTCGTTGTCCTTGAAACGGGCGGCGACCGTCTTCCACCACGCACCAAAGTCGGCGGAGCTGGTGATGATGTTGCCGTAGTAGCGGCCGTAGTTGTGGGGGTCGATGACGGCGTAAGAGCCCTTGGAGGTGACGTCCTTGACGAGCTGCGGCCAAAGTATTAGGATACCTTACGTATGTCCACCATCCGCAGGCTGCGCAAAAGACTTACATCCTCAAGACCAGAGAAGTAGGTCTCGTTGATCGTACCAGTCAACTTGTCGGGAATGATACGCTCCATCATCGTTCCGATACGGAAAGTGTTGAGGCCCTGGGCTCTAAGGGTCTAAAACCACCAAGTCAGCTACCTCATGCCATCATCGTCTCTGTGTTGCTCACATCAATGGCAGTCTTGTTGGGCCATGTGTACTCCTTGCCCAGCTGTCCGGGAAGGGTACCCTGACCGAACTCGCCACCGCTCTCGTTGACACCAGTGAAGAGGAACTTGCCGGCGCGCTTCTCCTTGGCGCCGTCAATGGGGGCCGCCAGGACCGATGCGACGGACGCAGCTCCGAGAGCAATGTTGGAAAACTTCATGATTCTTGATCGAAGAAAGGAACGAAAAGGGTTAGACTAGAAAAGAAGGTAAACAGGTCGGATGCAGTCCAAGCAAAAGCCAAGACCAACCCCAGAGTGGCTCCGAGGTATGGTAGACTTTATATCCTCGGGGCCGGGACCCTCTCTCTCAGTCTTCCTCCTCTCCCTCATCTCCTCATTCGTCTCCTCTCTCATCCGTCTCTCGTTTACAGTTCAGTTCAGGGGGGTGGGACGGGATGGTAAAGATGGTACCGACACATGGACAATAGTGGACTGTCGACAGGAAAAGTTGCCTGTTACGAACGTTTGGGGGAGAATCACCAGGCCACCCCCCTACAATATCATGACGGAGTCCCTTGCTCCGTCCCATGTATAATGGCATGTATAATGGCAAAACACCACACGATTTGTGGGAAAAGAGGGAACGCAATCAACGAGGGGGGGGGGGGGGCCGGTCACTTTGCTTCTCAAAGTCTAGTCTGGACACTCTGGAGCCCGTGGAAGCGGCGAGCCTCACCAAACTAAGCTTGCTTGGCATGGATGATGTGCCGCGTGGGGTAGTCCCCGGTAGGGGAGAGCACGATCTCGGGACCTGGACCTCCTAGTGCTGGTTTTGCTGGACCTCCTGGGACCTTGCAGGCGCCAAACTACGGTTCATGGTTCACGTTTGATGCCGAGAGTGCCGAGTAATGCGGCTGCTTCATACAGTCGTACAGTTGGGGAGCTTTCGTTTGCCGCCTGGATTAGATTGCGTGCAGGCCTAGTCTGAAGTTGTTTGGCTACACGGCATCATCATCGAAGGGGGATCGGGGATAATCTGGCAGGCAATTGAGTCGAGTGGCGGAGGGTGACATGCTCCGGTATTTGCGCAAATTTCCCGCGGGTGACAAGTGCCGGCATGAGAGACAAGAAAAGCAAAATGCGACGCAACAGTAGACAGAAAGAGACTGACAAGTCGGACTCGTGGTTCGCTAACAGGCTTTGAAGTGTCGTTGGTCCCAAAGGGGGGGAATAAAGTTGGCTGTTTCAAGTCGCCGGGGGATTTCCCTCCGCGTGATCACTGGTATAGCACCTGGAATTAAGGGATCGCCAAACCCCACAATGATCATCAAGATGGGACTTGAGAGCTGCGAGGGGGGCCAAATTGAGCCGAGAACTCGGGACGGCGGCGCGAGAAGGTTACAAATAGAGGATGTGGCTGTTCAAGGAGACGGCTGGCATAGAAGGGTGGTGTAAGTAGGCTTATAGAGTACGGAGTACAATGACGTGATATAAAAGACATGAGATCAGGGGAACCAGCTGTTCAAGCCAGAATCACTAGACTTGTGGCCGGCGGACCTCTCTCAGTAGACTTTGGGAGTTGGCGGCCAGCAGGGAGATCCTTGGATGCTGCACTATTGAAAAACTTTGGACTGAGTCGTTTCAACAGAGTTTGCGGTTGAGGAAACAAGTTGATCGATAGCTCTGCACACTCTGCTTTACCGTCGCCGTTGCCAACTGAAACAGTATGGAACGGCCTTCCGAGCGTGCACTGAGAAGCAGAACAGAAAAGTACGAAGGCCATAATCTGGAAAGCCTCTCTCCATCTTTGCTCTCTCCACGTAAAACTTGAAATCATTTGGGGACTTTAGTTAGAGGGAAGAACGGATACTATCTGGCTCAAGTTACCTGCGCCCGTCAGTGACATTGGTGGAGAAGTTGTCGCTGAGTGCAACGAACTATGATTAGCTAAGCCGGTACTTTGGAGTCGGGTCCGAAGCACGGAGCACTGGTCGTTCACGTGACTCAACCGAATTCTGGAAGCTCGGAAATTCTTCCCGCGTGGCATCGCGACAGCCCAGAAGTGACTTGGAGGTGGAAGTAGCTATCAATTCCGTATCGCAAAAGGAGTCGCCAAAATGCAGCCAACACGACACCTCCTGAAGCGATCCGTGTGGAAAGGTAAGTCTCAGATATGTCATGTCGAATCGAACCTGGTGAACTGACAATTCGTTTATAGGACCTCACATTGTCCCGTAAGGACTCCCTCCCCTCCGCGAACAACCCTCAATCGAACCGGCCTCGAGTCTGACCTTGACGCAAATAGTCTCCCCATCGTGCGCCCCGCCCCCGGACAGAAGGTTGTACCCATCCGGACGCAGGCCCGTTCCGCCACAATCCTGCCCAACTTTGTCGGCCTCAAGTTCCAGGTTTACAACGGCAAGGCGTACATTGACGTGACGATTACGGAAGACATGGTCGGTCACAAGCTGGGAGAATTCTCGCCGTACGTTGGAACCGTATTGGAGATGTTGAGGTTCTTAGGCGCTAACATTTGGCAGCACGAGAAAGCCCTTCATCTGGTCCAGAATGTAAGAGGCGGCGACGGTCTTGGGATTCCAAAAGTTCATCAGCATGCGGACGGCGTCTGTCAGGGAGTGGAGAAAACATTTGTACAACAATGTCAAGATACCAGCGATATATACTGTAGCATAAGAATTTGGGGCCTTGTGCCGTTGACGATCCTCTGCTAGCCGAATGGATGTCCATATCGTAAACTTTCGAGCGCCTCTAACGTAGTGCTCGTCCAAAGCCGAACCTCCCGGTCATGTGAAACCCCGTTGACGCCATACCCAAGTCCGCCCAACGCCGTGGTATATGCACACCAGCCCAAAGAAATATTGGCAGCTCCCAGCTGCTCTGACCAACCTCCCTTATCGATAAAATTCGCTTCTCTTGACGTTGACTCCGTACTCGCCAACAGCCATGCCGAGATCCTCCATGGTAAGAACGGTCCTGTTCTGGCTGCCGCCCTGTCCACCACCGCCGTAGCCAGGTCTCTGAATACCAAGAGGTCCTCCGCGACTTTGGTCTTTTGCGCCGGCTGGACCTGTGGGTTGGCCCGGGATGGGGAATCCCGCCGCAGCACCGAGGTTGCCCATGGGGTTATTGGCGTTGGAGTTTGAGGCGCGAATGCGGCTGTACTGATATGCGTCGGCAGAGATATCGGCTATGAACTTTTGCGTTGCGAGGGCGAGCAGGCGCGCCAGGCGCGGGTCGGTCTGCGGTGGTGGGGGGAGGCCGGCCTTGGTCATGTAGTAGTTTGTGACTGCATCAGGGATCTAAGCAGGTGAAAGCTGTCAATCGGTATTCGATCCCCTGCAAATTGTTGTTGAGACTTACAATGGGAGCATAGTCGTCCATCTTGGTCAAGAACTCGCGAAGAGACATGTCCTTGCGGGTAATGGCCTTGGGCTCTGGGCCAGGCGCAACTGCCTCGGGGACAGCCGCGGCATCAGCTGGGGCGGCGGCGGCATCGGTCGTCGTCTCTTGCGTGTTGGGCGCGGTGGGCGCCTGCTCGGCAGTCTCTGGTGCAGTCGTCGACATTGTGATCGCGGCGCGTGAAGAGCAGAGGTATTGGTGATAATGCCGGATAGAAGGAAATCGAGTCAAGAGCGCGCGGTACCACAAGGCTGATGAGGCTGGTGATGTAAGGTGAGGTTCGCCTTGCGCGAGACGCGGGAGTGGCGTCAGTGTCACGTGTCGCGCAGCTGAGCCACTTTTGCAACCGTAGACAGGTACCTTCCACGGTCCACCTTCTCACCTTCGCGGTTCTCCACAGCCAAGGTCAGCACCTCTGCTGCTCTGCATCCGTGTTCACTACTCCGTACGCAGTACCTTTTGGTCTGTGCTTGAATTCCAGCGTCTGATTTAAGCTTCAACAGGGGTACCACACACGATCATGGCGGTGCTACAGGCAAAGTGGCGGTTACGGAGCCATCCATATTACGGGCAAATGACTAGCTTTCTAAACATCAAACTACACACTACTTATTACTGGGTGTGTCAAGACGGAAAAATACTGCGTACGGAAAGAAGTGGTTTACCGAGCTTTCAATTTAACAACCGGTAAAGACCTGACGGGTCTCGCCGACACTCCGCTAGCATCTGTCTTTCTGCCAGCCCCCTAATCGCTCTTCATGAATTGGCAACTCCCCTACCTTGATCAAAGCACCAAAGCTTACGGCCACCTAAGGTCAAAGACTTTGTAGCATGGCGATCACTGTGATCGTATCGCTAAGCTGGGTTACGAGCTGGACCAAGGTCCGTACTAGCTCTTCAAGTACCGAGGAACATGGCTCGAAACCTGCGTAGGCTCTGCCCAGCTATACGTGTGATCGTACGGGCAATTATATAGAGAAGCATCTGAGGAATTTTTGTGCAAGGGGACGCTACCAAGACTGATAACCGTGGATGAACCATGCTCCTGGAGTCCGCAGTATGGGGTCGCCGTGACTCGTTAACCCAGCCAACCTGCAATCTCATATAAGAAGCTTTGCTTGATATATGAACCGTATCTTGGGCTCACCTATGTGCATGGAAAGGCTGGAACCGGGCGCAGTAATTCGGGCGTTTTCGTTGTCTTCGATACCGAATTTCGGTCACCGGGAGGTATTTGTCGGCCGTCTTTTCTACGAAGTTGATCATTAATCGAAGTCTTGGCACATGGGCTTCTCCATCGGTGACGGGGTGATATTTCCATCTTCAGGTTTGTCAAGAAATATGGGTCGCCTCCTCAAGAGTACACATAAATGTTGCAAAAGCCCAGCATCTCTTCTTAAGGTCGATTGCTTAGTTCATCTTAACCCAACATAACAGTCGAATATCCAAAATCTATCGAAATGCAATTCTCTTCATCTACTGCCGTTCTCGCTCTTTTCGGCCTTCTTGCCTCTCAGGCAGTAGCTCAGCAGATTGTAAGTGAACATGCAATGCCCAACTGAGACTTGACTGAAGAGGAACCCGCTGATACCCCATGCTCGATAGGAGTGCAACTGTACATGAATACTTTGACTTTTCCCTCAATGGACTCTCACTGATGTCATACAGCTTGCATAGCGGCGTGCGAAAGAAGGCCTGGCGTATGCTGGGGTGGAGACAACATTGGCTACTGCAAGAACCTCTGTGGTCCAAACTGCCCCTGCACATTCTAGAGGATGAATCATTGGGTTTATCGCTGGGTGCACAAGTCATTGAAACCTGACTAGATCCTTAGAAAGAATCAACAATCTAGTATACTATCACTGTTCGATGAAGGCAGTACTGGGCTCTCGTTCTTGCTTGCACCGTGCTGGTATTCGAAGTTGACCATAACCAGGACGGTGATCTCTAACGTACAGCACCGCGCCAGTGATATCGTTGTCTAATTAATCAGAAACACTGTCTTTGACTTCAGTAGCTAAACAGAAGCGTGGCGTGGTTGCCTGTGCGCAGTAGTCTTCGGTTCTCGTTCATCAGCATCCATCTCAGAATCCAGGCCATGACCGCGGCTGCCACGGAGAATGCAGCGCTGGACAGCATAGCCGTGGTATACCGAGGTGCGTCTGATTCTGGCCAGAGATACTGAAAACAGTCAGGGAGGTTGCCAAGAATCATTCGAGATGGAATAGAGAGGCGGTGACTTACTGGGGTGTAAATAGAACCGATGGTGGCGATGGTGTTGACCAAGGCGAGGGAAACTGCTTTCTTCTCCCTCGTTTGGCCACAGGTGCTTGAGACCCAGCCGAGAATGATAGAGTTACATGCATAGACACCGCTTGCAAAGGTGCACATAGCAAAGTACCTCGCACCGACATTCAAAGTACTACAAGCTAGCACGAAGCCAAAAACCGCGACAGCTTTGGCAATGGTAATGTGCCAGACTCGTTCGTTGAAGTGACCTGACGATATTCGTCAGTAGTGCGCACGTACGATTGCTCAATGACCTCACCTGAGCTAGCAGCCCATGATATGGTTGCAATACCGGAGATGATGTAGGGGGGGCATGTTAAGGCGAGCGTTACGTTTCGGCCGAAACCCAGCGTTTCGACAATAGTTGGGAAGAAGTTCTTGTAACCCGATGCGCTAAGATGCAAATGCTGCATAGTCACCAGAACCCAAAGACGCGGATCCCGAATGGCTTCAGAAAGACCGGCCCAAGTGCTGGTATTCGCTTGAAGTTGGACTGTATCAGCTGCAACTCGGGACTGCGCCAGCTTTCTCTCCTCTTCACTGAGCCAGCGAGTGTCGAGAGGTTGGTCAGGCAACAGAAAGGCCGATGAAACCGAAACGATAAAGCTGATGATGCCTTGAAGTATGAACAACCATCGCCATCCGCTTAGGCCAGCCACCTGGTCCATTTGGAAGACTCCTATGGCTATGAGACCAGCAAAAGCAGTGCCACATATGTTAGCTGTGAAGAGTATGGAAATTCGTGTTGCAATCTCCTTTCTGGTGTAGAAGATTCCTAGCAGATACAGAGCGCCGGGGTAGAACGGCGCTTCCGTGATGCCAAGGAAGAATCGAGTCAAAAGCAGGCCCTTAAAGTCTTTCGTCAAACCTGTCACGGTGCTGACTATTGACCAAAGGGCCATAGCTGAAGCCATGAACCATGAGGGCCTGACTCGTGTTATCAGCATGTCTGTTGATCTTTGTCAAATTCCGCCTGGAAGAAAAAGGGGGATTAGACCGCACTACTCGGAATTTGTCCTAGGATATATCCCACAAAGAGTATGGAAACACAGGTCTGGTATTCAACCGAGGTCAGACTAAGCTCCTCCTCGATGCCATCTAAACGGGCTACGGTAACGGCGTTTCGATCGAGGTAACTATCGTGAAGATGGTCAGGAAGAGTTTCTGCTTGAGCGCACGCCTACTGGTACGCTTACTTGAACCAGTACTGATAAGATAATACAACGATCAGCGTTCATTGTGAGATTTTTACACTAGACCATGAGTACGGTGTACCAACCATAATCCAAAGAACTGGCAAGATGATCCAGTCCAACTTCCGTACCAATCTTTTCTCAGCCGGGATTAGGCTCCCGTAGATTCCCGCGGGATCAGTCTCTGATGTGTCGATATGGGATTTCGGTACCGCCCTCAACTCCAGATGCTGACATAGGGCAACTTCATCTACTTTGGGTGCAGATGTAGACGCGAGCGCCTCAAGATGAGGCTGTTTGGAAGTGGCCATGTCGAATATTCCCTGATGGAAAAGGTGTATATACGTATCCGGATATGGAATAGTAGCTCCCAGACTCTCAGTTGAATAATTGTCGGGACTGCCAAAGAATCCCTAGTCCCCCTTCTTATATAGAACACGTATCAACGAGGTAGTTGCACTCCAGAGTATCTAAGGGATGGCCCAGGTTTCCCCGCATTATCCTGCGTTAGTACACCCGCTCGCTAGTGTACATGTATGTCTTCGTGACATGTTTTGAAAGATCTATGGAACGCTTAGCCGGGAACGCGTAATTTAGCCACGCCAATGATGGGCTTTTTGAGGCGACAAAAGGCTCTACGATGGCTGGGCGCAGCTCAGCGGACTAATACGGGTGCCGACAAGGCGACGGAGGATCTTGGACACTCCTGGCAAGATTTAACGGACATCGACGGACTGGCGCGGCTTGACACGGAAAGTCACGGATGCCTTGTAATAGCTGACACTAAAGCATGCGGAGATCACTGTGGCATTTTTTTCAGACGGATGGTTCACGTACAAGCTGTTTGGCCGTGTATCTCTAACTGATATCTGGGAGGTTCCATAGAAAGTTGAGTGAGTCGATGTCGAACCCCTGGTAAAGCTGATCTGTGTTGTCACTGAAAGGAGCAATGCTGGAGTCAAATTGCAGAGCCCGCCAGATCCCGTTCTGATCCGTAGACACGCCATCGTTGGTACTTTGATCAGGCGGAAGAGTTGGCAGCGTGAGTCCAAATCCACTCAGGCTGTCTTGGGTATCGTTGAGCGCTCTCTGGGGTACAGATACAACGAAGAGATTTGACTTCAGGAATTTGGTATGTTGCTCAATGAGATGGGCGTATCTCAGTGCAAAATCCATGTCGTCGGGCGGGTACCTTCCCAACGCGGTCACACATCGATCTAACGTCCGTAGGGCTGAAGGAGCATCTGTCGCAGGTGATCCGAGACTGAGGGCCTTTAACAAGAAGACGGATGCAGATATCACGCTGATCCTGACACTTGCTGGCGCATATGCAAGATGTGACTGAAAAGATGTCTGAGTGGCAATGCGTAGCACTTCGCTGCTATCCGACACAACCTCTTGCAGAAATCTAGCATCCTGGGCCGTCATATAGCCGGCTAGACTGTCCTTCTCAATTCCATGTGCTCTGGCTGTCGCAGCTCTTCGTACGACTGCCTGTATTGATATGGCACCTATGCAAGCTCTAATGTGGTAGTACTCGATAGATAGTGATGTTCTTAACAGCCCAGCTATGATGAACATCCATTTTAGCCATCTGAAGTGTTGTGGGGATGGATCAACAAACCTTTGCAGTCTGCATCAAATGAGACCTTCCAGTTGGTAAGAGAGCTCAGGAAATGATCCAACAGATCTGGGTAGCCATCGCTTTGAAGTAAGCCTTCCAAATGTTCCACAGATTGGAAGAACATTGACGAAGCTACTTTTGAGAGACGGGTGAACTCGAGGTAGATATCCATGTACGATGCCCATGAGGCCTGTGAAGAATGGTCCATGTCTTTCATCGAAGATCTCGAGGCTGCAATGGACACACTCTCGGGGAAGACGGAACTATACCCAAGTCTCGTTGCGGTTTGAGTCATGTAGGCATAAAGCAGCTTTCGAGCTCGAAACTTGCGACAATCTGCAACCTTTGACGCCGTGTAGTCTGCGCGTTGACCGCTTGATAATATCCCAAGCTCGTAAGCAAGATTCGCCGCAAGGCCCAGGAGCATCCACGACATCCTGCTCGCTCTTTTCGCAGGCTCAAAAACATCCTTGCGCCAACGGAGGAGGGGTTCCTCATCGTTAGTTCGTCTCCGGTTCTCTCGGTCGTAATCCAGATCGATCAGCATAGCATCCCAGCCCTCTGTATCCGGAGGGAAATGAATGGCTCGAGGGTGCCAGTCGGAGATGAGCAGCAGACTCTCGATTGTGCCGATTATTCTCATCTTGGCGGTGGAAATCTTTTCTTGACCCAGAATAATGCGTTTGATCATTAGCTCACAAAATTGCCAAAGTCGGTTATGTATCAACTGACTCCTGGAAATGCCGCCTGCTCCCGGCAATAGGAAGAATCGAGATGAAATCATTAGGATAGTGCAACATAACATGGATTCTTCATAAACGAGGCTTGAGTGAGCATTGTGGTTCCGGAATTGGTCGACGATGATAGGAGATAGTGGAGAGAGATATTTGAAGAAACTAGTCGATGTGAGCGAGATGTGGCTGCACTGAGCCCAAAGAGTTGAACCTTACAGATCGATGTACGTGACGGCTTCTTGCGATGTGAACCAGCCCTGTCTGACGAATCTGCACTTGTCCCACATATCGAGGGTATCGTCGCCTGGTTCAGATAGAGCCTGAATGACAAAACCCACCCCGATCTGACCTCCTGTTTGTTCTCTGGCGGGTACAGCAACGGGAACATCCTGCACGGCGTGTGTTGGCGGTGCTGAAGGGGGACCAGAGGACGGTGATACTGTAGCATGGTGAAGTATATTTGCGGCGTCGGACAGCACATCAAGAGCATCATTAGAGCCAGTCACAAGACTGGAGACAACCCGTTCTGAAAGTGAACTATTACGAAGAGAACTTTGACGCCACCCGCTTCTAAGGTCTTGGTTGACTGCTCTAGATCGAGGGGCCGCTGATGGCATGTTTTCTTGTACTGGTGTATCAACGTCTTGTGGTGACTTGGCTCGACTGACGCTAGCAGGCTGCGGCGTGATAGCATGCTCAGCCGGCCGGTTACTTTTCCAATTTGGCGGATCCCTGTGCTTCGAGGTTCTCGGACGTCGATCGAATCGACAATCGCGATGCTCACGTTTGCATTTGGCGCAAGGGGGCTCACCTCCCATAATGCATCTCACTTTGCGAGACCTACAGGTGTCGCAAGCAACGTATGTCCGCTTGAATCGTGGTGATCCGACTGAGGACGGCCCTGTGATGGCCTTATTTCCCGGCTCATCGCTCATGGTGAGTCAAGTCAAGCAACAAGCATCAAGTCAGGATAGGAGATTCGACTGGGTGCTGGACAAGTCAGCCCCGAACATCCCAATCATTCATGAAATCTTGCTTGTCATCTTCTGTTACCCCGACTCAATGAGCCTATTGGCAGATTCAGGATACAAGAACGGGTGTCCGCTCTCGATGCTGGTGGTCTGGAGGTTTGGTGAAGCGAGGGTAACAACTGCCGTAGAACCCCGCTCCGATCCGCTAGATAGCGCCAATGCCCGTGACAGTCCGTGATTATCCGCTTCGGTCCGTTTTCGCTGTCTGCGCTGACATCACCCGAACTTTGCTCTTCTCGGCACTCGGAAATACTGTTCCATCGGACTGTGCGATTCGGGCACAAGTCGAGTGTCACACGGCGAGCTTCTCATCGTTTGAGGCTTCGAAAATTGGTCTGACTGTGAATGCTACAAGTCTTTCACTCCGATAGCCGGAGCTCTAAGAGGTGCTGCATAGATGGTGGTGAGGTGTGGGAGTTTGTGTATATAAGCTAGGAAAATCGCTTGACGAAGAGAATCATGCAAGCTTGACAACAATATCAATGTCGATAGCCTGCTAGGTACCAAGAAGTCTCATATCAAACGATTCCCCACAGTCAAAATGTCTAGGTCCATCGTCAACACCACTCCCTACCCGTTTCACTTCGACGCAAGCAATGGTCCGACCATCGATAGAAGCGACAAGAAAGCAATACTGAAACTAGATAATTGTCGTGGAGGGATTCCGTCCCTCCAGGCAACCAAGATTCGAGCCATGATGCAAGAGGCGCACGAAGACCCTTCCAAGATCCTTGCTCACGTATGCAGCTACGATGCCTTGAGTTCAAGACTTTGTGAAGAGGCTGGCTTCCCTCTGGTCTTCCTGGCTGGGTATGCCATGGCTTCTGCTTTTGGCCTCCCAGATACTGGATACATAGCTTTCCAGGAAGTTGCTGCAAAGGTTCAGGAAGTTGTCAGAGAAGTCAAAGTTCCCGTCCTTGTGGATGGTGATACTGGATACGGCGGCCCGATGAATGTGAAGAGGACCGTTGAGGGGTAAGCTTGATTTTCGCCCACCTGGAAACCAATTTGGTGATCATGCTGACTGTATCTACGTAGATTTGCGGCCGCAGGAGCTGCTGGCATCATGATAGAGGACCAGTCTTGGCCTAAAAGTATGACCCAACATCACCGGTGATGAAGAAATTGAATATATCTAAAAGTTCTTCAGGATGCGGCCACACTGCTGGCAAGAGCGTGGTCTCTAGAAGCGAGGCTTACGCCCGATGGCAGGCCGCAGTTGATGCCAGAGACGAAGGGGTGGACATGTGGATCATGGCTCGGACCGATAGTCTCATCCACGGATACGACGAAGCTCTCACCAGAGCTCGGAAGGCGATTGAGATTGGAGTGGATGCCGTCTTTGTTGAGGCGCTCCCCGATCGCGAGACCATGGAACGCCTGAGAAACGATCTCGACTTCCCTGTCTTTGCCAACATCATTGAGGGTGGTAAGACGGAGAACTTGTCTGCGCAAGACCTGGGCAAGCTCGGGTACTGCGGAGTTGCATACCCGTGGACTTTGGTTGCCGCAAAATTGAAGAGTATTCGCGAGGCTTTAGAGGCGTTGAAAGGTTCCTTCCTCGTGGGAAAGCCCCCGACGATTCTGTCCTACGCTGAGGTTTGCGAGGGGGTCGGTTTCAACAAGTACTTCAAGCTTGAGGAGCGCTACCAATATGAGGGGCGCACGAATGGAGCAAATGGCCACCAGTGGAAGGAATGAGAGATGTTCTCGGCTTCCTGAATCCACGGTCGATATCTTTTATGGAATAGTTAGCGAACTCCCTTTGACCCTGCCTTAACATCGGTTGCCTTCGAAAATGACCTACCAAGAGCAAAACCTGTATGTTTCGTTATTCTCAGCAATGTGCATGGTGCACTGCTGTGTTGCGCGCAACCTTGGCAATTAACATTCGACACTGGCCTACTATCGACACAGGTGCGAGTGACCGATAGTTCTCTCAATCGAGAAATTGCAGTAGTCTTGAGCCGGTTGCAAGCCATATTGTGGCTTGCCAACAACTCCCGGCAACCGTTGGCATTGAAGTCAAGGTATTGTATACGTACTTCCAATCCAGGTCCATCTGACTTATGTGTGAGTTGAGCTGTACACCAGTCAATACTGGAAATGATACAGATATTCACAGGTTTCATCCAAGAAGATACATGTAAAACCTGGGCGAGACCTCAACAAGAATGGTTCGAGCAGTGTGACAGGTGAGATAAGCACTTACCAGTCTGCCTGGAGGCCCATCATTGTGTTTGCGACTTCAATCGGTCGTGGGATACGGCCGTCGCGGCTCAGCCGGCCCAAGCAGTCGAGAGCGAATCGCCGGGCGTCTGGGGGCGTGATGGATATCTCAGCAATGACCGATAATGGCCAGATCAAGCATCTCGCCGTCACGGAAAATCGGTCTTCCGTTGTCTCTAGATATTCGCCACAACTGGCGAGTACCTCGACCACCAGAGTTGACATTTTCCGCGTCGCGGCCTCCTGCATGGCAAAGTAGCCTACACTGGCTGATGTCGGCCCCTGAGCGAGGATTAAGGATGCCTGCATCCAGATAAGGTCGTTGAGAAACATGCGAATGATCCTTAAGGAGTTCCAGTACCGCAACGCTCGAAGGGAAGGATAGCGGAAAGATATTCCCTTGTATGTCATTGGTGCCTTCTCATACGGGTTCCTTGCCGTGAACCTCCACTCTGCCGAGACTTCCTGCCCAAGCTTCGCTGTCGCCGCGTCCAGATCCAGAGCTTCGACAAGAACCTCATGTCTCTCTGAGTCCTCCAAATAGGCTATTCTTGACCGTAGCATGGCGACCCTGTCGAGAATAGGGGTGACTCTGAGGAAGGGATCGTTGTGATCAAGATACGGCTGCGCATCATCGTAAAGCGCTATGAATCGGGTCGGGACAGGTGTTTTACTGTGCGCGCAACTCGTGCGGATGTTATTCGCAGAGTGAACAAAAAGCTTGCGGCCGAGGGGGGTCTCGAATTGCTGACTTCCACGCAGGCGTAACAACTCTACGGATCCAAGCGTGTGCTGGTTCCAGCTATCCATAGACTGCTGGCCGGAAAAGACGATGGCCTCGAACAGTCCCAGGAGCAGAACGGCAGCTAGAGTGCTATCCTCGACGGCAAGTTTCGGAGAGCTAAGTGCTTGATTCGTTTGACATAGTGCGCTGGCGTATTGGACTCTAGCCTGCTTCATGAGTTTTGGATCCGATATCTTCAGCGACAGACTTGCAAAGCTGGCAGCCAGTATTGACGCTGACATGGCATCGTTTCCTGTCAATCCATAAGGGCAGAGTTTAGGTAGATAATCAAATGGCGAAGTCGCTATGTAGTCGGTCATGAAATAAGTGCGTGCTAAATCCTTGATAGGCGACGAGATTGTTCGATAGCGAACCACCTCACCGTCGGACGGTGGACTTGAGGACGATGAACTTGATGGAGACCAGTGATTGACCAAAGCCCCAACAGCTTGCCTTGGTGTGGCCGCTACGGTTGGAGTACCGCTCGAACCTGCATGTTGCTTCTGCGCATCTGCTTCCGCCACTGATTGCGATTGCTGCTTCGTTTTGGCGGGCAAACACCTCCTTGGTTTCCTGTTCTGGACCTTAAAAGCAGCGTTGGCGGTTTCGTCTCTAAAGTAGAATTCCGAAGGATCCCTGTAGCCGGGGCAAACTATCTGCTTTCGGGAGCACTGGGTACATCCGGGCTGCAGGCGATCACACTGCAGAACGAGAACGGAAAGAGACAAATGTCAGCCTTGGCTCATATCCGAAGAGTGTGGTTCATGTTGGTTGTTATAACGCGCTGGACAACAGCACACAGAAGTGTGCGTGCCGTGGTGTCGTACAGACCGCCAGAGGGACTGACGGGTCGAGGCTCGGGGCTGAAGATACGAGCGGACCAGTCGGAGGGGGGATTTAGGAACAAGATGGAGTACGAACCCTGAGTCTTCCCTTGCGACAGGGGTAGCACGCCTCTGACGGCCGGCCCAAGAAGACCATTCTCAGTTTTCGGTTGGACTTGGGGAAACGAATTGTGTCGGACGGTGGTGCGTAGGGGCCGAGACACACTGCAGCAACCCTCAAGAGAGACACACTGGCGATATCTTGAGGCAGATGGAGATGTGGTGTCGATACTTTCCTGATTGTGGCTGTGTTTGGGGGCCATCATTAACGTTGAAAGACCGTCGGGATACGGCCGGAAAAGCGGCATAAAGTCGTACATCTTGGCATTGTCGAAACACGATCCCCATTTGGTATGGTCGCGCTTTATGAACAAGCACAACTGGAATTCAGTCTTCACAACTCCACATTTTAAGGCTTGTTTTCAGTTGGCGCAACGGACAATTCAGCTGGAACGCGAAGTTGCGGGGTCCAAAGACGGTCAATAAGGAATTAAATTTACGCCAAGCTCCTATCTACCGCGCAGAGGACCAAACGCCATCCTAGCAGTCAAGCACTGCTCTCGGGAGACAACCAAGACATTTTTTCTCCTTCTTTTTACAGAGATACAAAGAAAAAAAAAACACGGTAATTACAAGCAAAAATCTCAAAAGCCCAGAGAAGCAAGCAAGCCTGCTTGCGAGTCCCTCGTCGGATGCTGAAGAAGTTGCTCAAGATCGAGGAACACGTCCAGGCTTTCATATATGCCCTTCAAAGCCACAGCGACGAGGTTGTCATTCCACACCTCGAACATGGAGGTAGGGGTTTCTTCTGACGATGTGTCTCGGGAATGAGCCTTTTGCAGCAAACTCCACGCCTGGTTGACGACGGCACGTGCATGCTCGTCAGGACTCTGCATGTCGGAAGACGCGACAGACTCATCGTCATTGCCAGATGGGCCGCCCGGCAAGAGTGGCGCATTGTTCGTCCTCGTCTTCTGGCTTCGAGTGTCAGGAAGCGGTGCTTCCGAGTCCCAGTGGTGGCCGAAGTGCTCAATAGCGACACACAGTGCCTGCAGAAGAGTTTCGGCGGTGTTGTGGTTGATCGTATTGAGGGCGTGGGTAAGCTCAATACTCAAAAGGCCCTCCGAGGGGCGGGAAGTCGTGATGATCCAGATAGCAGCAGCATTCGAGGTACCTCCCTTGGCGCTCAATTCAAAAGGCAGGTCAGGCGTTGTCTCGTTCAGCTCGGCGGCCAATGGGATATTCTGGTGCTGGACGATGGACGCGCCCGCGAAGGAGGTCCGGGCTGGCCAAGACGTGGCTCCCGTGATGATGCGACGGAATCCAACGTGCTCATGCTCCATGCTCTTGGTGTGCTGAGCGTGGACGGCTTGCAGGAAAGTGCGCGTGCTGGTATTCTTCAAGATGTTGTTGACGCGGACAGGAGACAGATTGACGCAAGGTCCCACCACAGACTCGATTCCAGGGACCGGAGCGAAGCGACCAGACACAAGGCAACCAAAGACAACGTCAGATAGACTCGAGTGCTGGGCAAGGACGATGGCCCAGGCGGCTTTGAGAACGCTAGCGAAGGTCACGCTGGCCTGAGAAAGATTTGGCAAGGTCACAAGTCGAGTAATGTGACCCTCAATTCCGTCATTGGCGGTGATGGCAGCAGGGGTAATGACTGGAGTCATTTGCGAGTTGTCAAGGAGGCGTCGCCAGTATGACAAGGACTGTCGAGAAGGAAGAGCCTGGATACTGGAAGAGAACTTGGCGAATGAGACTTCGGGAGCTAGCTCACTGCGCTTCAGAGCCTGAGAAAGCGTCTGAAGGAGAAGTGGGAAGGACAGGCCGTCGTAGTGGGTGTGAGCAAGTCTCATGACAAGTTGGGTTTGCGAGGCGGACTCGACGATGAAGAACTTGGTAGGAATCTCATCGGAACCCAAGCGACGAGCCTCGTCAGTCTCGATCAAGCGTGTCGTGAAGGAGACAACGTCATCCGAAGTGACGCGGAAGAACTCGAAAGCGGGCTGGAAGGAGGATTCCGAAGCAGCAAGCTGCCAGAGTCGGCCGTTGGCGAGCTTGAGCTTGGTGCGAAGGATCGAATGGTGCTGAACCAGTTGTGTGCACGCGTTGCGGATGCGTTCATGACTGAAGCGATCGAGGAAGCGGAGTACGAAGTAGTTCACGAAGCCGCGGTTTCGGAGCTGAGAGAACTCGAATGCAAGAGCCTGGAAGTCTGACGCGGGTGTGATGTGATACTCGGCTGGACCGCTTGAAGAAGTCTGTGTCATGGAAGACACTTCGGTACTAATGGCGATGTCGGCGATGGCAACTTGCAGGGCCTCACCATCATCAGTATGCTCAGCGTCTGGGGTGAGATCTTGACTACCGCCAAGATCTGACCACTCATCTGTCGAGGACGAACCATCTGTGCGATCTTCATCCCCTTGGAGATGGCGACACAAACTGGTCAAGACGGGATACTTGAAGACATCAGAGACACGGAGCGTGAGACCACCCTCAGCCAAGATTGGCACGAGGCGCATAGCCGTGATGGAATCACCTCCAAGACGGAAGAAGCTGTCCCGGATGCCAATTTTACTCGTATCAAGTCCAAGGACCTGTGCCCAGGCAGACACCATGCTCTTCTCTAGAGAAGAGCGAGGAGCTTCTTTGACACCTTGAACGCCACGAAGAAGTTCCAATTGCTCGACAGTAACATCTGCGACGATGGCCTGTAGCCTGCGGCGATCGACCTTGCTCGACGAGGTGAGCGGGATTGCGTCAAGAGGGATATAGAGCGTTGGAACCATGTACAG